TCAAACAAACTCTCTCAAATCCCTCACAAACTCTCTCTACAAAAGGATGGACAAAACCCTAAAAGAAAAAAAGCCTCTTCTTTTTCTTTTTCTCTGCAGTCTCAAAATCGCCCCTGTGTTCGCACTGTAGCCGCCAAAGAACCCTGCAGCCAAACCTCCTTTGCTTGCACCTAACCCTATGAATTAACAAGTCTTATATAGGGACATTGGAAGTCAGGTCATGGGCCATCATCACGCGGAAAGAATTGAAACCGCGTTCACCTCTTTTTTTTTCTTCAAAGCTCATGTGTGTGGGGGCCACTGTCCTATCCGCCTATCCGCGTTCACAAATACACCAGCCAAAAACCCTCTTCTACAACACTAGCAGCAAAAGAAACAACCCATCAAGCCAAACAAATGAAATCTAAACTACAGTACTCAACAACAATCTAAAGAGAAGAAGAGGGTTATCATAAGTTGCTAGAACTACAAGCTCACGATGGATAATGAAAACACATTATCTTCCTTGATTTCTCCTTGCCAAAGGGTCTTGATCCACACACAAGCTTCTCCCAAAACCTCCCACTGTTCCTCTTTTTTCCTTCACAATTCCTAGAAGAAAGCAATTATGGGTATGAAGAGAAATGATCCAAGACTTGATCAAATTCGTTTGTATTCTTCACCCAACTTGTCAAATGTTGGGATTATGTCTTTGATTCTTTGTATAACTTCATAAGAATTAGATAGGGTTAGAGATCTATCATGATTAGAAGATTAGGTCTCATCTTAATTAGGAGTTTTTATCCTATCCTAATTAGGAAGTTTGGCTAGGGGTAGGATTTTGGTTCCCCTATATATATCCTTCTATTGTTGGAGGAAAAACCAAAGAGAGGAGAGAAAGCCAATATTATTGTAATATAGGGTTAGCAGAGGGCGTAACCTGATTCAATAATGTTATGAAAGAGGTGAGGGTTTCGTAGTCTTTGCCCGTGCAAAAGATTACAACATTGGGAGAGGGTTTCGCAGTATTTATCTGTTCACAAGATTGTAAAGAGTGGATTTTTGAGAGAATATGAAAGTTGATTATGTATGTGAGGTTGAGAGATTGAGAGACGAGAGTTGATTTCTCGTATTGTTATCCCGTGGACGTAGGTCGAAGTTGGTCGACCGAACCACGTAAATCTTGATGTTCCTTCTTCTTGATTGCGGTTATTTTCTAATTTTATTGATTGTGGATTAGCTTCCAAGTTGTGAGGATCATAGTACGCGGGGGGCTAAAATTTCCCAACATCAAACATCTCTTATTTTTAGTATGACCCATAGAACCAAGGGGAAGAAAATAAAAAGCTCAACCCATATGTATCAATATAGGCTTCAAAATAACATGAAAAATGGGCCAAAGTTATTGATTCAGCATCACAAGACCAACAATCTTCATCTTGATGCAAAGCCAATCTATCTTGAAGCCTATAGAAGATAGACTCCAACCTGACTTGTTACTTGAACTGCCTTTGTTAGCATATCTGACACATTCTCTTTGATCCTCACTTTCAACAATTGAATTCTTCGATCTTCAACAACTTCTCGAATATAATGATAATGGACTATTATGTGCCTAGTCCATCTTGTGATGCACCGAGTCCTTTGTCCAATAGATTGTACATATTGCCACAATACAACTTCACGGGCCTTGAAGTCTAACTGCTTCATTGCAAGCTTTCGTTGCCACGAGGTATTCGGCCTCCATAGTTGACAATGTCACTTTTGCTTGAACTTTTGACATCCAACTAATCAATCCACTTATTGGGGAATTGACGATTCCTGATCCTGATCTTCGCCATCCAGAGATCAAACCACAAGTTTGCAATATAGAACAAACACAAGTAAGAAGAAGAATACACTGAGGTTTATGTGGTTTAGTCAACAAAGTTCGACCTATATCCACGAGAAAGCATTATGAAAATCCACTATATCACCATTCATATTCTATCCAGATCCCCCAGTCTCGCACCAAGCTCTTTCTTATGAGAGGCTTATATAGTGTTTGAGTGCTAAAACAAGAAACCTTAACGCTAACTTGGCCTATAAGCGCATCGGATTCAAAATCCCACTAGATACTAAATAATTAGGTACAAGACATATCTTAACACTACAATTGTCAATTGTTTGCCATGTTAATGCATATATATGCAACTTATTGGTAAAGACATTATAAGTAGTTCTCTTGAGTTTAATTTCAGCAATTTTTACAACTTTTTTGCTACAACTCTCATAAATACATATCCATGTATAACTAACTAAATAATAGGAAAACAAAAGGGAACTCTCCCAAAATCTTGTTTGGAACATTTGTAGCCCTAAAGGATCAATGAGGAGCATAAATTCAAGGAGCCATAGCTACGCAGTGACCTACCACTATAGTTTTGTCCCTTAAACCTATAAAAACCTAAAAATTGGCACTTGCCTTTCACAATTCACACCCATTCCTCATTATTCAATACTTCATCTGATTAAACTTGGTACAACTTTGTCATGTTGTGTATGCGTGATAATGCAACGGCTGTATTAAATTCATACCCAACCTAACTGCCCTTTGTCTCCTCTCTCATGTCGGCCCCACCCCAAAAGTCAGCAACAACAACGACAGTTCAGACACCTCAATATGCAACGATTAGAAAATTGAAGGTAGAAGGAAATACATCAAGAGACAACAGTGACAAGTCAGACTTTGGTCTACAAATTCATCAATTTGAGCGGATGTTTTGCTGACAGAAAATAGAGACGCAACAATGATATTTAGGCAATTTAGCAACATGGTAGTTGATAACAATTGAATTTCTATCTCGTGGAAAATTATTTAATTAGATGTAGCAAATACTGCAACTAATTTCAATAATAATAATAATAGTAAAACTAAAATTGATGCCATGCCATTGAGTTAGAAAGTATTAACTTACAAAATGTAGATAGTTTACGAGAACATATATACAAATCCAACAATATTTGCAGTTATGCAAGATTTTGTAATGCATTTTTACAACAAAAGTACAGACAGCCAAACAAAGAAATTGTGGTTAATTTTCTGCCCAAATACGTTTTATGAAGTAACAATGCAACTGCAATTGCATTCAATGTAACAACTTATTTTTTTTCTTTTGCAACGACAATGGTAGTTAGGAGTGATCAAATTGTTGGTTTAAGTATTACAAAATGTATTTCATTTTGCTATTTGTATCACACCTACATTTAATCTGAATAAAAGCAATCAGATCTAACCGTTATTATATATATTAAAAAGGAGTCGGTTCAAGAGTTTTTAACAAAATTTGACAAAATGAAACCAAATCGTTCCGGATTCGAAACCGAACCAAAAGCCGATCAGTTCAATTCGCTCTATTCAGATTATACTTGGATCCATTTAGTTAAGACAGTGAGTATGTTTTAAAAATGCAGACCAGGAAATTTATGAAAGAAAAATATGAATTAAATGATTGATAAGAGATGGATGAATTGAAATTGTGGACCAATGAAAAGACAAAGAAAATTTTTGTAACCAATAGAGCGATCCAATCGAGGCAAAACCTTTCCTGATTAAGCCAATCCGAAATTGTTCTAAATCAAATCAAACCATTAAAATTTAATTGATTTGATCAATTTAATCAGTCAGTTTAATCAGTTTAAACACCGATCAGTGCTCATGTGATTAGACATCCTAAAATTCATAGATTTTGACTTTTAGGTTCGGATCACCAGTTCGGGTTCTCCAACCTGCTTATGCTTGTTTGGTTCCTTTTTGTAAACCACATGAAAGCTACTGTGGTTAGGAAATCAGTTTTTCAACTGGACCTAACAGCTACAGTAAAACCCACTTTGAACAGTTCGTTTTGATGAGAATTGGCCATAGGCTACCGGTTGATTTTTTTACTGTCACATCAGCATTCTATTTGCATAATCAAACGAAAAATTCCCCAATGATCCAAAATATGGGACCAACAGGGAGACATGTGAGACGTCCTCCTCCTATTACATAGTGAGCTGGTCATCATTAATGATTGTCAGCTTACTAGGTAATAGGAAGAGAACACCTCACATGTCCTTCTGTTGGTCTTATATTTTGGATCCTTTCGTATCATTAAAATGGAAAAAAAATATATTCCCCTTCTCACTCCTTATATATTTTATAGCGGGAAGACCAAGTAAACTTTGTTAATAAAGTATAAAATTAGTCTTCACATTAAAAATCAAAGCCGCGTTTTCCCCAAAGGCCTAACTGTAGCTCACTTTCATCTCCTTTTCATTCAAACCAACCAACCCAAACTCCTCATCTTCCCCATTGAGGGACCAAGCCTATACAGCTCCCAAAGGAAATTCCCTCACCCTCCTCCCCTCCCCTTTTATTTTCTTTTCCGCCGTTCTTCCGCCTTCTCTCATGTAAAGAAGAAAATAATGGACTTTCTGAAAAACTACTCCTCATCTCCTCCTCCTCTCCTCTCTCACGCCTCGCCTTAAAAACCTCAAGCCGCCATCGGAGTTCCCCTCCTTCCTTCACGCTTCAATTTCACAACCTCCCCCGTCCGCGGCCGCACCGACGACTGTACCAAAAACAAAATCCACACCAAACGCCCCAAATTCCGCCCCCCCCCCGGAGACAGAAAACACAGAAATTGAAGTTCCACCTCAACCACCGCCGCCTTCACCACCGCCAATCAAGCGAAACAAGCCTCCCTCCTCGCCGCGCCGCCACAAGGACCCTCACCCGCTCCAAGCCCTCTTCCACAAAAAGGCACAAAATCAAAAGCAAAGACATCCGACGGAATCCGCGGAAGAGCCCACGCTGGGCCGAGCTCGCCGAAAGCTGACCGCCACGATCACAGTCGGGGGTCTCCTTTGGGCTCCGGCGAGTACTTCATCGACGCCCTTGTCGGACCCCGGGACCCGCTTAACTGCGCTGATCCTCGACCGCCGGAGCGACGCTCAACTGCTCCTAATGCCTCTCGGCTTGCGACGTGCTTCGACCTCAGCGCGGCCCGCGTCTTCGACCCCTCGGCTACCTCCTCCTACGCGCACGTGTCCTGCCCGACCGCCCGCTGCTCCCCATGCGTCTCCTCCCCACGCAACGCCACGTTCAGCCTGCGCCGACCCTCCCCTACTTGCTACTGGGTACGCGCGACGCCCCAACACCACCGACCGCACTACCCGCCAGCCACCCGATACCTATATATCAACACGTCCGAAACTCACCTCTGCCGACGGCATGGCCTCGCATCCCATCTCGCGTCGACGACGTCATTTCCGGTGCGGGCACTGGAACAGCGCGGGCTCTTCACGCGCGCCGCTGGCTCCTGGGCCTCGCCCAGTGGCCCGCTGTCCTTCTCGCCCGCAGCCTCAGGGCTCTCGTACGGCCATCACTTCTCCTACTGCTAGTCGATCCGCGACAGCGACCTCACGGTCAGCAGCAAGCTCATATTCGGCGAGGACGACAGCCTGTCGAGCCACCCGAATCTAAACTACACGTCGTTTGCTGCTGGCAAAGAGAACTCCTCCGTCGACACCTTTTACTACGTGCGCGTCAAAGAGATTAGGATCGGAGGAGAAGCGCTTTCGATCCCCGAGGAAACGTGGACGCTGAACGGAGACGGGACAGGAGGGACCATCATCGACTCCGGCACGACGCTGAGCTATTTCATCGATCCCGCGTATGATCTGATCAGGCAGACTTTCATCGGGAAGGTGAAATACCCGATGGTCGCGGACTTCCCCGTGCTCAGCCCGTGCTACAATGTCACGGGCGTCGACAATGTTGAGATGCCCGGGTTCGGCATCGTGTTCGGCGACGGAGCGAGGTGGGATTTCCCGGTGGAGAACTACTTCATCAGGCTGGAGCCGGAGGGGATCATGTGCTTGGCGATTTTGGGGACGCCGAGGTCGTCGTTGTCGATAATTGGGAACTATCAGCAGCAGAACTTTCATGTGGTGTATGATACTGAGAAGTCCAGGCTCGGGTTTGCGCCGATGAGGTGCGCCGATGTTTGAGGGGTGGAGGGGAGGTTTTTTTGAAGATTTTGTGCAGGTTTACCCTCTGAAACTGAAAGGAGAGGTAATTGATACGATGATATTAGATATTCAATTGTTTAACTTTTTCTTTTCTTTTTTTTTGGTAATTTTTTCCATTTGGTATTTTTCGTGTATGGGTAGAATACTTTAACTCATACTCGCGACAGAGGAAATTGAAATATTACAGTTTGGTTTCTCGAAGATAAATTTTGTCGGCATTCTCTGATAAAACAAATTTTCAAAACAGCCCCAAAAAAATTTTTATTTTTCAAAATCGACCCATTTTTTTTATTTACCAAAATCGACCCGGTTTTTGCCACGTGGGCTTAATGACGTTCCTAAACAGTCGGGGACAAATTTTCAAAACTATCCGGTTTTAAAATTTATTCCTAAAAAAAGACCTCTTTCAACCTTAATTTCAAAAACAGACCTAGTTAGATGAAACTAGGTCTGTTTTTGAAAAAAAAATTTCAAACTTCACGGGAGTTGAACTCCCGTGAAGTTTTTTCTCATAACAAAACTTCACGGGAGTTCAACTCCCGTGAAGTTTGAAATTTTTTTTCCAAAAACCGACCTAGTTTCAACCAACTGGGTCGGTTTTTAAAATTAAGGTTGAAATGAGTCGTTTTTTATAAATAAATTTTAAAAGTTGATGGTTTTAAAAATTTGTCCAAATAGTCGGGGTTGGCAACCCCGACTGTTTAGGAGGGTGTTAAACCCTAATTAATGTCCTTAAACCTGAAATTTGCATGTCCTAAACAGTCGGGGTTGCTAACCCCGACTGTTTAGGAACGTCATTAAGCCCACGTGGTAAAAACCGGGTCGATTTTGGTAAATAAAAAAAAACCGGGTCGATTTTGAAAAATAAAAATCTTTTTGGGACTGTTTTGAAAATTTATTCTTCTCTGATACGTTTGCACTCATGGTACGCTCTTGGTTTATATAACTTAACGAGAGGGCTTAAATGAAATGCTTTTATATTTAACATAAATATTTCATGTAATTGCAGAGTACCCATATTCCTTTTTATATGATCAACATAATAAACCAGAATATGTTTCTGTAACATATAGTGAATTCTCTGAAAAGGGAAACTAACTAGATGACGTGGAACACATAGCGGACATGTTTATGTTGAAGCGGGACAGTCGCAAGCCCAAACGCGATCCCGGTCGAGGAAAATAACTTGATGTGAAGAACGAGTCATAACTTTCAAACCTTAAGTCAGAATTGGACGAATTATATATAAAAATCGCATGTTTTTTTTGAGACGAGGCCGATCAAACTGATCAAAGTTCGGTTTGCCGTCGTCCGTTTCACCAAATTCCACCCGGTTTGAAAGATATCAGCATTTTTATCAATTTTTTACTATTTTTAGTAATGTTTTAGGAGTCTGTTTTGATTAGGAAACGAATCCGGTTTGACCTCAAATTTGACCGATTGACTTCCCTAATCTTAAGGAGTCTTTTTAGGAAGAGTTTTGTTATTTATTTTTTGTAAATTTTGAGTCATAGTATGAGCTTTGTTTCTTTTCTATTTAAGCAGAGTCTTGTAAGCCCTAAGAGGATAACTTTGATCAATAAAATTTTCTCTTTTCGACATTTTCTTTGTTGATTTGAAGATTGTTTTTTGTGGATTCAGAGAATGCCCTTGGTAGATTCCGAGGCTATCACTTCCACGCTGCATCACTAGATGAATCTATCATGTTAACATTATTTAGGTGTCCTAAGTCCGGTATATACAGATAAATTCAGGCACAGAATATATGTAGTTTGTGCAATGTCAGAATTTGGATATACTTTTTGGGAGGTAACCAATGGAACTTTGCTGACTTCTGGCCTAAAATTTTGGAAGTACATGAATGAGATATTGTGTGTTATTATGTTTGTAAACACATGCTAAGAATATTATGCGTACTGTTATGCGCAGAAATTGAAATTTATTATACTGATAAGGTTAAAAGAAAGGGTAAATTTCGGAAAATCCCCTTGAATTTTGGGGTGGTTCGCAAAACCCAAATGCATTATAAAAAATCTCCTTAAAGTTTGCGGAGTTTTAGAAACATCCCCCGAAAAACTTAAGAAAAGCTCCACAACTAAAATCTGAAGTCCTATTTTCCAAAGAAACACCCTCTGTAAACTTTCGAAAAGCTCCCCAAGTTAAACGTGCTCCAAACCTCAGCCACATTTTTGAAAGTTAAAGGAGTTCTTGTAAAACTGCCTAAAGTGCAGGGGAGTTCTCTTCAATTTGTAAAGTTCAGAGGTGTTTTTTGCATATCATCCCAGAATTTGGGGGAGAGTTTTGTGAAATTTACCCACGAACTAAGTCTAATACACTAAATATACTGTTTTAAGTTGTTAGCTACATTTTAGATTGAAAAAACATTGAGAAAACTACTTTTAATGGACTTCAAGGAAACACTAATAATAATAAGCTTATTAATTATATACATGCATTTTACATGTTATTGGGTAAATTTATAGACCCCTATGAATCTATTGTCCTAGTCTATTTGTAATTTACAAAAGTATAGTCCGAACAATGAAACTCATTCTAGATAAGATTCTTTACAGTTAAGTAAGGTGCTCAGAGATAATCTAAAGAGGGGATAACAAAGTGTATTGGAGATAATTTGAGGTAAAAAAAAAAATAAGGAGACACAAAAAAGTCCCCGCCTATCTCTAGTCAGAATGTAGAAAAACATGGCTCTCCCCAAAGGAATATACTAACGTTACCAACAAATAAATAAATGATAAATGTTTTATGAAAAAACTGAAATCTAACCTCTATGCAGTAAGTAGACTCATCACACATTTAATTATGGTTAAGACTTTTAACTTGACCAAAGATGTTCTCCAAAAGTTACCCAGCTATTTTTAATTGGCTCTCCTACCAAACTTTGGATATACAAATATTTCATAACCGTCCATCGAGATATGTTTAAGCCTTGACATCATAATCTAAATAGCGTTTGCTTTATTAAGGATTTTGGAAATTTTAACCTGTGTATGAAAGATCTGGGGGGGCGCACTTGTATTAATATATGAAAGATCTGGGGGGGTCTAATATTGGAAAAATACCCTAACATTTCCTTGGTTAGAATATGAGTTCATCTGCTTGGTACTTTTAACCTGTACGTGTATCACTCCATGAATTTTAGATTAAGAAGAAGAAGCAATATTAGCATAAGAAGAAGCAATACTAGCATATATGTTGCATGAAAAAAAAAAGCATTATTGCATATAACTGAAGAGGTTAAAAAAATTTAATGCAATAATGTTTATTATATGTCATGATTTCTCAAATAATTTTCCTTCGTTATTGATGTTCCAGAAATGCAAAAAGATCTCTTCAAGCTGTTACAAATACAGCTGCATATAAGAAACTAAACAACCACATAATAAATGCCTCTAGAATAATCCTTAGCTTCTAAAAGGTATTCAAACAAAATGGTCTTTGCCTTTTCTTTTATTAACCAAAAAAAAAACAAAAAACAAAAAACAAATAAAGGGCAAAGACAAACTTGCCTTTTCTTCCTAATTGCCCTTTTAAGCTTGCGCTTTACTGGTCAAATGAATAGACTTCAATAAAGTGATATTTGAATAGAAAAAAGCTTTACTAGCCAAGTGGAGGCATTGCCTCCCTCTAACGGCAAATTGCACGATCTTGAATCTACAATAAAGCTTCCCTTAGTTAAAGATGAAATTAGAGGAGCACAAAAAAACATTGAATTCAATTCAAGCATCAAGTTGTTCACAGAATGTTTCGTCATCAAAACACGTAAATAATATGTAGTTGGTCTTTATTTTAGTTAATCTTCACCACTGGCTCTGATTTTATGGACCATGATGAGGTGATCATGCATTCCCATTTGATAAATTGAGTGTTGGACTACACAAGGGCTGAGGTGCTATACAGAAACTAGCTTTCAACATGTGGAAGTTTTACTGATGAGCTCCAACTCGAAAATGTATGTACGTACTTTTATTGACAAAACTTGTGATTACACAAGGGCTGAGGTGGTATACAGAAATTTTTTAGAAATATTATTCGAATTTGACGCTTAGGGGTTGTTCACTTGTTTGGCTTAGGGGCTGTTTGGTTGACTGAGAAACTAATAAAAGGAAATCAAAACATCCAACACACCCATGTGAAGTTGTTTGATTTCATTTTCTTGTGCTTGGTTGAGAGAAGAAAAAAAGAGATGTAGGACCCACGACCACTAGTAAGATAATAGTGCTATTGGTCCCAAATTTAAGGAAAACTTATTTCCTCCCAAAAAATCATGAAATGTGTTTGAAAACATGAAAATGGATCTCACAACCTATTTTTCATGAGTAATCTCTCAAACTTGGGTTTCTAGGAAATGAACCAAACAGTCCCTAGCATTCCAAACACTCGGTTGTTGTTGTACTGTGAGCTTGAAAGAGAATGTTAATCATAGTATTTTCCTTCCACAAGACTTTTCTTATTATTTTTTCTTGTTAAAGTTTTGGTAAAAATGTGTCCAGGCCCCAAAAATAGAAACTTCATGTGCTGCAGCCCCTCTTAGTTTTCCCCATGTGATTCAGCCCCTTGAAGTGTGACACTTTGTACTGTAGCCCTTTTTTAGTAATTATTATATGCCAGCTAAGCTAAAATCCTCAAAATAACCTTATCCCATCTCTTCAATCCCTCAAACACAGCTCTCTCATCTCCCTATGTTAGTTCTAGCTAGTTGAGAAAGTTAGAACTAACAATATTCAAAGCGATATAACGAGAGATAGAAAATGATCTCAAGTGACAGGAAGATACCGTGTGATAGACAATATAAAGGGCTACACACCGGCGAAGACGGTAGTGAAAACGGAGACCGAATGTGGCCGGAAAACGCGCGCGAAGTCGGCACGACGCTGCTATTTTCTGCTCGCAGCTACCGTCAAACGATGTTTCAGACGTTACCGAAAGAGATAGAGACTGAGTTAGAGCGTGATACAAATTAGAGGTGATAGGCAACATGTAGGGATAGTCAACAAAGAAGAAATCGACAGAAACGGAGATTGGAGGTGATCGGAAAGTGCGTGCGAAGTCGGCACAAAACTGCAGTTTTCTGCAGTGCAATTTCTCACCGTTCGGGTTTGTTCTTCGCTGTTCGGAGCTTTTCGCCGCTGTCCGGGCTTGCCGGGGGTGGGAGGAGGTTGTTGGGGTCGTCGGGGTGTCTCGGTGGGCTCCGCCGGAGGTGGGAGGAGCTTTTTCTCAAGTTAGTTCTAGGCTCTTGGGCTCTCAAGTTAGTTCTAATTTGCCCCATGTTAGTTCTAACACTTCCCATGTTAGTTCAAGCCCGTCCCATATTAGTTCTAGCTCTAATTCATCTTAGTTCTAGGCTCTTGGGCTTTCAAGTTAGTTCTAACTTACCCCATGTTAGTTCTAACTCGCCCCATGTTAGTTCTAGCCCGTCCCATGTTAGTTCTAACTTGTCCCATGTTAGTTCTAATTTTCCCCATGTTAGTTCTAACATGTCTCATGTTAGTTCTAGCCCGTTCCATGTTTGTTCTAACCCGCCCCATGTTAGTTCTAGCTAGTTGGGCAAGTTAGAACTAACAATATTCGAAGCGATATAACGAGAGATAGAAAATGAGCCCAAGTGAAAGGAAGATACCGTATGATAGACAATATAAAGGGCTACACATCGGCGAAGATGGTAATGAAAACGGAGACCGGAGGTGGCCGGAAAACGCGCGCGAAGTCGGCACGGCGCTGCTATTTTCTGCTCGCTGCTGTCATCGAGCGATGTTTCAGACGTTACCGAGAGAGAGAGACTGAGTTAGAGTGTGATACAAATTGGAGGTGATAGGCAACATGTAGGGCTAGTCACTAAAGAAGAAATCGGCGGAAACAGAGATTGGAGGTGATCGGAAAGTGCGTGCGAAGTCGACACAAAACTGTAATTTTCTGCAGTGCAATTTCTCGCCGTTCGGGTTTGTTCTTCGCTGTTCGGAGCTTTTCGCCGCTGTCCGGGCTTGCCGGAGGTGGGAGGAGGTTGCCGGGGTCATCGGGGTGTCTCGGTGGGCTCCGCCGGAGGTAGGAGAAGCTTTTTTTTAAGTTAGTTCTAGGCTCTTGGGCTCTCAAGTTAGTTCTAATTTGCCTCATATTAAGTCTAACACGCCCCATGTTAGTTCTAGCCCGCCCCATGTTATAACTAACTAGTTCTAGCTCTAATTCATCTTAGTTCTAGGCTCTTAGGTTCTCAAGTTAGTTCTAACTTGCCCCATGTTAGTTCTAATTTATCTCATGTTAGTTCTAACTCGCATCATGTTAGTTCTAGCCCACCTCATGTTAGTTCTAACTTGCCCTTTGTTAGTTCTAACTTGCCCCATGTTAGTTCTAGCACGTCCCATGTTAGTTCTAGCCAGTTGGGCAAGTTAGAACTAACAATATTTAAAGCGATATAACGAGAGATAGAAAATGAGCCCAAGTGAAAGGAAGATATCGTGTGATAGACAATATAAAGGGCTACACACCGGGGGTGGCCGGAAAACCTGCGCGAAGTCGGCACGGCGCTGCTATTTTCTGCTCGTTGCTGCCGTCGAGCGATGTTTTGGATGTTACTGAGAGAGATAGAGACTGAGTTAGAGCGTGATACAAATTAAAGGTGATAGGCAACATGTAGGGCTAGTCAACGAAAAAGAAATCGGCGGAAACGGAGATTGGAGGTGATCGAAAAGTACGTGCGAAGTCGGCACAAAACTGTAGATTTCTGCAATGCAATTTCTCGCCGTTCGGATTTGTTCTTCGCTGTTCGGAGCTTTTCGTCGCTGTCCGGGCTTGCCGGACGTGGGAGGAGGTTACCGGGGTCGTCGGGGTGTCTCGGTTGGCTCTGCCGGAGGTGGGAGGAGTTTTTTCTCAAGTTGGTTCTAGGCTCTTTGGCTTTCAAGTTAGTTCTAATTTGCCTCATGTTAGTTCTAACACGCTCCATGTTAGTTCTAACCCGTCACATGTTAGTTCTAGCTAGTTCTAGCTCTAATTCATCTTAGTTTTAGGCTCTTGGGCTCTCAAGTTAGTTCTAACTTGCCCCATGTTAGTTCTAATTTGCCTCATGTTAGTTCTAACTCGCCTCATGTTAGCTCTAGCCCGCCACATGTTAGTTCTAAGTTGCCCCATGTTAGTTCTAACTTATCCCATATTAGTTCTAACTTATCCCATGTTAGTTCTAGCATGCTCCATATTAGTTCTAGCCCGCCCCATGTTAGTTCTAGCTAGTTGGGCAAGTTAGAACTAATAATATTCGAAGCGATATAACGAGAGATAGAAAATGAGCCAAAGTGAAAGGAAGATACATTTTGATAGACAATATAAAGGGCTACACACCGGCGAAGACGGTGGTGAAAACGGAGATAGGAGGTGGCCGGAAAACGCGCGCATAGTCGGCACGGCGCTGCAGTTTTGTGCCGACTTCGCACGCACTTTTCGATCACCTCCAATCTCCGTTTCCGCCAATTTCTTCTTTGGTGACTAGCCCTACATGTTACCTATCACCTCTAATATATATCACGCTCTAACTCAGTCTCTATCTCTCTCGGTAACGTCTGAAACATCGCTCGACGGCAACAGCGAGCAGAAAATAGCAGCGCCGTGCCGACTTCGCGCGCGTTTTTCGGCCACCTCCGGTCTCCGTTTTCACCATCGTCTTCGCCGGTGTATAGCCCTTTATATTGTCTATCACACGGTATCTTCCTTTCACTTGGGGTCATTTTTTATCTCTTATTATATCGCTTCGAATATTGTTAGTTCTAACTTACTCAACTAGCTAGAACTAACATAGGGAGATGAGAGAGCTGGGTTTGAGGGATTGAAGAGATGGGATAATGTTATTTTAGGGATTTTAGCTTAGCTGGCATGTAATAATTACTAAAAAGAGGCTGCAGTACAAAGTGTCACACTTCAAGGGGCTGAATCACTTGGGGGAAACTAAGAGGGGCTGCAGCACATGAAGTTTCTGTTTTTGGGGCCTGGACACATTTTTCCCTAAAGTTTTTTATGTAGAGCTTTTTATAGATATTCCAAAATATATGTATATATAATGTGCCTAATCTGTTGGATCGGAGGCATAAGCCAGAGGGGTGTTAATAGGATTAACTATTGTTTTTCAATATCACAGATAAAATGTAGCGGAAATAAAATGGTAATAATAAAATAGAAAGCAATAATTAAATCACAGATAAACACAGCCAGAACACATGAGATTTTTATAGTGGTTGAGATAATTAACACTACATCTACTCTTCTTTCTCGTAAATGAGCTTCCTCACTATGATCAAGTTTATCCTAAAGGGCTGTTTGGTACATTTCTGGAAAAAAAAAAGAAAACAAAATAAAACTTTGAAATCTATTTCTTGCCATTTCAATGGGTTTGCACACTTTTGATATAATTTGTTTGATTCGCACAGATTTGTAGAGATGAAAACAATGTGCTCCATTTCCAGCGTTTGGTACAACAGCCCCAAATAAAGAAACCCATCTACAAGTCATTAATGGAGCTTACCCCCATAAAATATATAATATCTAGGCAACGGTAAGATATCTCCCAACGGGCAAAAGGAGGATCGCACTTCCAACGGTAAGCTGAAGTCATTTTCAAACATAGCCACAGTAACCCAACGCAGCAATACAAATAGTTGGTACCTGCTGGAAAAACATAGACCATTGCAAACCATCTTCAAAGAGCTGAAATAGGATACATCAAGAAGCCCATTTCTCAGGCCAAGCTGAGCCATGGTAATGTGCCACTGTCAAATACCGACGCCATTAAAGCTGTGCAAAAATGGACCGAACAAGGGCAAATACTTTTGGAGCTGCGCAAAATACCCGAATAGGCAATGCAAATTCTTTAGATGGGCAGAAATTGAGCATGATAGCAAAGAAGGAACAGCAAGCACGTACGAGCACGACATCAGCAAGAGTAAAGCAAACTTCGATGAAGCAACTTCTCGTGATGTCTCAGACATAGACAACTTGGAAGCTAAGCACTTGCAAAGAGAACTGAAGTTTGCAAAGCATCAAGTTGATTACTTGAAGAAAAGTCTAGTTGTCTTAGGAATATTTACTATTTTCGTTGTTGTCGTGAACATTGTCATCTTGTCTTTCTTAATAAGAATAATGCAACAATCTCTTTAGAATGCTTGTACTCTTGTGCATGAACAGTTTGAAATTAAAGCAGTGAAAAGATTGAAAATCAATGAGATGTAAATCCCTGACCTGTATATCTGTAATAAAACGTGCAAGAAAACAATATCTACTAACTGCAAGTTTCATAAGAATGCAAAATGAAGGACATGTGAAAACCTGTATCAAACGAGAACTCAGTTTGGAAATACAGACATACAGAACAATTGTATTTGACGAGATGATTATACAGGGTATTGCTCAAAAATCCATAGCACGTGTGCAGCAGTCTGGGAAGGTGATTAGTGCAGCAAAATCTAGCTTGGGCATAAGAATCAGATAACAAATAGATATTTGGTTTAAAATCCTGTGAAGCCTTGAATTTGGCTAATAAGAAGATGCTCAGATATATGTCTACATCATCATATATCCCACACCAGTAATCAACTACTACGCAAAGTTGGCTGCATTCCAATACAGTTTACTTAGCGCAATAGGTAAATGTTGGGACTGCCTCGCCAAAACAGTGCAAGTATTAATTACTGGATTAGAATATTAGAAATTTAGACAATCATCATCGCAGCAGGTTTTGCATGCATGTGCAAACTGGGGAAATAAAACAGTGCTCAGGCTTGCAATAAATTCTTGAAACAGGGTGCATGTACATGGCAGCTGTAACAACCAAAGGCTGCAATATATGTTCCCTGAATAAGATCAGCATGAACCTGCCTCGCCTTAGGATTGTTAAGTAACATGTGATTGCATCTTATATGTGCATGCACTCATCATTGCACCGTTCAAGTTAATTTAAAAAAGTGACAGCTTGTCATACCAGCAAAGAAGGACGCTAATGGGGCACCTCAACCATGACATAGAATCATATGTGGTACCTGAAATTAGAAAAAGAATCAGCATAACCTGAGTCACATGTTGCACCACTCACTAAGCAGCACTCAACAACATGTATTAGACTGCATCAACATAAATCACAAAGGTAGCAACTGCATCATAACCCAAAATATACAAGCATACCAACCATCTACAAGTTTTTACGACATAATAACATAACTGTTAGACCTAGTGCGCAGAATAAAAGAGGTCCATCCTACAGCAAAATGTTCCTGGTCATAGTAAGAGTTGAAGAACTGAATGTAGAATACCAGACTTGGTAGTGCAATCTGTTAGGCACCGGAACCAAGCACATACCTGGATAGCTAACCTAGCTTCCCCCATCTTGCTTCTTCATGAAATTGTCCAACAAAGCCCTTTGACCAAAGTCACTCTTACCTATAAAATGCCTGGCCTTGGATTCATCTTCATATATGCTATCATAAAAAAGCTCAAGGCATTCTATTGGGTATGTATCTTTGTGCCTGAAGATAGCTTTGGACAATTTCTCTGTCCAGTGCAGGTTAACAAGATTGAGACAAGAAGAAAAGTGTTTAACTTCATCTACCATTTGTTGCATGATCTCATGCTCAGAGTGGGCCTTCCTCCCCCTCACTTTAGCCGATGGGATTTTCTTTGGATAGTCCTGGTAGGGGGCTTTGACGGTATTGTTTTGCGATTGATTGTCTTCATCTAGCATGTTGACCGTGGGCTGGGATTTCTGGGTCATAGGAATGTCGGCATCCTCAGTGGCATCATCTGCAAGATTAATAGGCTCATGACCACCAAATTTCTCCATTGAAGCCTTAGCAAAGTCACCTCGTGCTTGATCATCTCCACAAATGACGGACAGGTTCTCGTAGTGTTTCAGAGGCTTATTGATGTAATCTTTAAGCCTGCTTTTGTTTTTAGCCTGCATGCAATAATAACACCATTAGTACAATGCAAAGGACACTACATCATTCACACCAACAGAAATTTGAATGGATTAAAATTTAAGTTACCTCATTCCACGTGTCAAAGCTCTCAGGATCCAGCATAATAGTTTGTGTATCTTCATCCCAACCTGCGCCACTGATATTACGAGCAGCCTGCATGTCTTGAAACCAAGAACGAAGTGTTTTCATATGATTAACAACACTTTTGGTGGCAAATGAAGTACCAAATTTCTTGTTCACTTCAGCCGCTGCCATTGCAAACGCATGTTGTTTAAAATTCTTGTCTGGTTTAAGTCCAGACTTGGCCAAATTTGCAAGAAAGGGTATGAGCACTTCATCATGTGCAGGAGTCCACCATCTGGTTGGGCCAGTATTTGCGGCTTCAATTTCCACCTGTTTTTTCCGTTTCTTATGGGTAAGAGCTTTGCCTTTTCTTGGTGTGCAAGGCGATGTTGCTACCACTTCATCGTTTGCAAACCTTTTTTTGTTACCTGAATCAGAAGTAGCCCCTGTAATACTCGTTGGAGAATGAAATTGTCCGGAAGAATTGGACCCTTGCACAGTTTGTGCCAAAGGTGGTGGAGAACTGAGCATGTGCATGTAAGATGAAATAGGGTTTATCATGGGGTAAAAGTTACCATCGTAGTGCGGTACATTTGGAAATACTTAGGATGATTGCACAAAGGGTGAGGCTGACTGAAAGAGGGGATTGTAACTTTGAGTGAATGCACTGCTGGAGGGAAACACAGGTGGAGGTGGTGGGGCCATTGCAGTAGGGGAGTGAGTATTAAGCTCTTTGCCCACATCATGCCCTACGGAGGTTGATTTGTCTCCCATTCCCTATAGTTCAACAATTGTAATTTGCTGCTGAAAACATGATAAGTAGCAAATATATGAATACCATGCAAGTGTAAGTAAAGCAGCAACAAGTGAATATATGATAAATAGGGACATTGACTTAGTACCATCATAGTCATCATAAAGTACACCATGTCTCGATGAAAAGTAAGGCTCATTATGTTACATGAAAAACCAACACTATGTAATACATAAAAGTACTGCATCTGGAACTACACAAATCACATGGCAGATTCAGATGTGTCACCATGCCGATACCTATGACAATAATCGGTCCACATGTCCAAAGCGATTTGATCTCTACGAGACCTCCACTCATCCTTTGAAGCGTTTTGTTCTCTTACCGATTGGGACTGAGTGAAATCCATAACATTGGCCTCTTCATTAATTTCCTCTGCAAGAGCTTCCTCTTCAAAGTCGAAGCTCTCATTGAGCAACTCATCATCTGGATCCACTATTGCAATGTAGTTATGGAGAACTGTGCATGCCAAAACAATGTCAACTTGTACGGGGAAGGGGTGTAGGATCTAAAATAGATACACTAGAACACTAGAAGAGGGGTGAATAGTGTTCTTTTAAAATATATGCAAAGTAAATTATAAATTGCAAAGAAAAATGGCAATCTCAGAAATTCACAATCACAAACACAAAGTTTTATACTGGTTCCACCAACCCGGTGTACATCCAGTCCCCAAGCAAATCCCGCTTGAGATTTCCACTATGATTTTGAAACCTTACAAAATCAAAAGCAAACCTGACCAATTTGCAAGACCATGCAAATTGCAACACCAATTGACAAGACCATGCCAATTGCCACCCAATCTCTAAACCAAGAGATCAACCCTCTCAAACCCGAGAGAAATCCTTTTTGAAGCAAGAACACAATTGATCCTATAAGCCTTGAATGTGTAGTGAAGTGCTGCAGTGGCTTAGGATTCTTTTAACTCTCTGAATATTGTCTATACAATCTCTAAGAATGATTGAAACCAAGGCAATATCAGAAACTCTCTTTTTCTAAACACTTAGCATGAAAATCTGAAAATTTAGAGAGTGAATATGCACAAAATGTTTGATCTTGCAAGTGCAAAACTTTTTTTTTATTTACTGATGTTTAAACCTATTTATAGCCTCTGAAATGACATAATTTTAAACCCAATTAACGTCCACAAAACGGCTATAAATAGTCACTTATTTTAAACCTGAAATCTGGAAAAACTGTATTTGTAGTCGACTACAAGTCATAGTAGTTAACTACACTGAGTCTAAACAGACTCTGTGAAGTCAGAAAATTGCTTAGTAGTCGACTACAAGGCATAGTAGTCGACTACACTGTAAACTCAGATTCTGGAATTTTTCTGTTTAGTATTTTGACTATAACTTTCTCATCCGATATCGGAATGAGGTGATTTAAGATTTGTTGGAAAGCTCTTGAAGAGACCTACAACTTTGATCTTTTGAGTTTTTCCAGATTCTAATTGTTAAGGGGTGTAAATGAAATGTTTTAAGACTCACTTAATATCTATAAACTCTAATGGCTAACATAGGGGATTTCTATTGTTAACCAACACACTAAACATGTGTTAGTGTGTTCTAACACTATGTGTGTGCATGTGTGTGAGTGATCAAGGCTTGTACAAATTTCTAAGCAAAGAAAATATAAAATTATATTTTGACAATAAAGTATATCTTCTTCTTTGCTTCATTTTGCCTTGAACTCATCTATGTTTTGAGTATCTCTTTGAATATAATTGTTGATATAGCTCTGATACTGCAAAACAAATGTTAGCATATAATACACACAACATATAATATTTGTTATCATCAAAACAAACTAATCTTGGGGTCAAGATTCCTAACATTCTCCCCCTTTTTGATGATAACAAATATATGTTATTAAGATATAAAAATTTTAATCCCCCTGCATGAAATCATTAAATAAAATCTTTTACTCCCCCTGCATCAAAGCATTAGTAAAAAATTTAAAATTTAAAATTTTCTATATAACTCCCCCTTTGTCATTAGCAAAAAGAAATAAACATAATTCTAATTAAAAATTTCTTTTCTTGGGTACCTTAATAAAAATATCAAGCACTTTGGTACCCTTTTATATTATATCATTAGGATTAGCCCTTAGGAATCCAAATCCACTTGGAATTTGGTTTCCATTTGTTAACATAAGTGTAATTCTTTGAATTGCAAACTTCATAAATATAAGATGAAATATAATAATTCCTATCATGAATATTCAAATTCTTAGGAATCCATATATACTTATTTTGTTTAGCATGAATATTCTTATTATTATTCTTCAAAACATAATCATTCTTTATAAAATACTTAGGAACAAATCCAATGCCAAAATGATTGTTTGAAGATTTTTGAAATGAGAGCAAATTATTCAAATTCTCTTTACTTTTATTGAATTTACTAACATTCAAACATATATCATCATATTTTAATTTAATAGAAGAAATATCTTTATCTAAAACATTAATGCGGATTTTTAAATCATTGCATTCTGATTTTAGATAAACATTCTCATTAGTCAAAATATGATTTTCTTTAAGCAAGGATTTATTTTCCTCTTTCAATTCAATTACTTGAGAATTAGAAATAGTAGAAGAATTAAAATCAGAAATTTCTTCAAGTAATCTTTTATTTTCACCTTTAAGAAAATTATGTGAAGCCTTTAATCTCAAAAATGTTTCATATAATTCATTGAAAGCATCTAATAATTCTTCATTATTGCATACCTCATCTTCTTGTGCCATGAAGCACATGTGAGTGGATTCCTCTTTTTGTTCTTTCATTTTGAATAACTCAAACCTGTGCACAAGAACAGATATTTTAGATTCTTTAACTTTATTTGTACCTTCATGAGTTACCTCAAGTGTATGCCAAATATCGTATGCAGATGTGGCCGTTGACACCCTATTGAACTCATTCTTGTCAAGTGCACAAAATAATGCATTCATTGCTTTTGAATCCAAATTTGCATTATTTCTTTGAGAAGTAGTCCATTCTGCAAAAGGAGTTGTTGGCTTCTCATATTTTGTTTCCACGACGTTCCAAAGTTCGTAGCCAATTGATTGAAGGTAAATCTTCATTCTGCACTTCCAATAGTTGTAGTTCGAACCATCGAACATTGGAGGACGATTTGTAGAGTAACCTTCCTTGAATTGTGATGTATTTGACGATGCCATCTTTCACCTTGCTCTGATACCAAATGTAGGATCTGAAATAGATACACTAGAACACTAGAAGAGGGGTGAATAGTGTTCTTTTAAAATATATGCAAAGTAGATTATAAATTGCAAAGAAAAATGGCAATCTCAGAAATTTTTTTTCCGTTTCTTATGGGTAAGAGCTTTGCCTTTTCTTGGTGTGCAAGGCGAAGTTGCTACCACTTCATCGTTTGCCAACCTTTTTTTGTTACCTGAATCAGAAGTAGCCCCTGTAATACTCGTTGGAGAATGAAATTGTCCGGAAGAATTGGACCCTTGCACAGTTTGTGCCAAAGGTGGTGGAGAACTGAGCATGTGCATGTAAGATGAAATGGGGTTTAACATGGGGTAAAAATTACCATCGTAGTGCGGTACATTTGGAAATACTGAGGATGATTGCACAAAGGGTGAGGCTGACTGAAAGAGGGGATTGTAACTTTGATTGAATGCACTGCTGGACGGAAACACAGGTGGAGGTGGTGGGGCCATTGAAGTAGGGGAGTGAGTATTAAGCTCTTTGCCCACATCATGCCCTACGGAGGATGATTTGTCTCCCATTCCCTATAGTTCAACAATTGTAATTTGATGCCCTCAACATGATAAGTAGCAAATATATGAATACCATGCAAGTGTAAGTATAGCAACAACGAGTGAATATATGATAAATAGGGAAATTGACCTAGTACCATCATAGTCATCATAAAGTACACCATGTCTCGATGAAAAGTAAGGCTCATTAAGTTACATGAAAAACCAACAACAAGTAATACATAAAAGTACTGCATTTGGAACTACACAAATCACATGGCAGATTCAGATGTGTCACCATGCCGATACCTATGACAATAATCGGTCCACATGTCCAAAGCGATTTGATCTCTACGAGACCTCCACTCATCCTTTGAAGCGCTTTGTTCTCTTACCGATTGGGGCTGAGTGAAATCCATAACATTGGCCTCTTCATTAATTTCCTCTGCAAGAGCTTCCTCTTCAAAGTCGAAGCTCTCATTGAGCAACTCATCATCTGGATCCACTGTTGCAATGTAGTTATGGAGAACTGTGCATGCCAAAACGATGTCAACTTGTACGGGGAAGGGGTAGTGGGGTTTTGCTGTGAGTATCTTGAAACGACTCTTCAATATACCGAAGGTAGCTTCAATCTTAGACCTCAAAGATGAATGTCTAAGGTTGAATAACTCCCTCCTATTTTGAGGTGTTCGACCCGTAAATTCCTTCAGATGATAACGAACACCGCG